GTGGGTGGTAGGCATAAACAGGTTGACTACTCCTGATTTAAATAGTAAAGCAAGTCAGCCAAGTGCCCATACTATGCTGAGAGCTGATAGGTAATAAGAATTTACTACTAACCACCCTGGAGTATTATCAAAATATCTCAAGGTAAAAATAGATTGGGGGGGGGGAGAGGTAGAACTCTGACTTATGATGTCTAATACCTGTACTCTCCTAAAGATTTTATGGGTGGGGGATAGAGGGTCTTTGATTAATTGGTGGAATGTTTGTGTTCTATATAAGTCTCTGTCATGTGACAGATTGTATAGACTGACAGGAGAACTCCACTTCTTTGTCACTGTTCCAAATTTCCAATAGACTGATGACAAGCAAATATAAGAGACTGTGACAGTGATGACAGACAGTAAGCTATTCATTTTCTTACAGTCTAGTTAAAGCCGATTCACTCATTATGTTTGGCTGTTAATACAGTTAGAGAGATATACTGCAATGTATTTGGATCCCCAAACTGAATATGTTTTGCAATCCATCCTCTCCAGGTATATAAAACAAAGGTTTTTACAAAGGTTTCAGCCTGTGGGGAGAATTTTAAAAATGTTCAGTGGAGGTCTTGAAATCTTCTCCCCATTGTAGGGTGTGTGTCAAGCCAATGTGTTAGCCAACAACAGTAAATGCAGTAGGAACCATAAGTAAATGCTTCATGTCTTGTTTTTCCCTCCTGGAGCATCCTTAACCAGCTGATACTTAGCTGTATGTCTCAGCCTGTGGTGAGTTAAGTGATGCCAAGTCCTCCCTTTCACAGTGCCTGGAGGCTGTTAGGGGCTGGATGGAGAGCAACGGGTTGAAACTAAACCTTGGCAAGACTGAGCAGGTGCGGTTGTGGTCAAGAGGGCCTTTGCGCAACTGCGGGTTGTGCACCAGTTATGCCCTTTCCTGGACCAACAATCCCTACTCATGGTCACTCATGCCCTCATCACTTCCTGTCTTGGCTATTGCAACATGCTCTACATGGGGCTGCCCTTGAAGGGCATCTGGAAGCTCCAGTTGGTGCAAAATGCAACAGCCTGCATGGTTTTGTGCACACCTTGGGTGTGCACATGTATTACCTCGCCTGCGGGTGCTGCTTTGGTAGCCGATTTGCTTCTGGGTGCAATTCAAGGTGCTGGTTGTCACCTTTAAAGCCCTTCATGGCTTGGGAACAGGTTATCTGAGGGACTGTCTCCTGCCGGTCACATATACCTGACCCACCAGGGCTGGGAGGCAAGGAATATTGTGGGTCCCAATCCCTAGGGAGATACACCTGTTGGGACACAGAAGAAGGGCCTTCTCCATGGTGGTTCCCTCTCTCTGGATCATCATTCCCCCAGCAATTAGAATGGCCCCCACTCTAACACTCTTTTGGAAGGCACTGAAGACCTGAGAGACTGCCTCCTGCCAGTCACCTCCCAAAGACCTATTAGATTCCACAGACTAGGCCTTCTCCGGATCCCATCTGCCGGCCAATGTCGGCTGGCGACCCCCTGGGCAAGGGCCTTCTCTGTAGCTGCTCTGGCCCTATGGAACGATCTCCCCATTGAGATCCGGACCCTTACTACCCTTCTGGTCTTCCGCAAAACAACTAGGACCTGGCTGTTCCCGCAGGCCTGGGGCTGTTGAATTATCCAGCCCCATCCTATGTTATGACTGTTGCTGAATTTTAATTGTTGTTTTTATTTTTGTACCCCCCTTCCCTTCTTATTGTTAGCCGCCCTGAGTCTTCCGGGAATAGGGCAGCATACAAGCTAAATAAAACTCAAACTCAAACTCAAACCTGGTTCTGCCAACAGGCCTGGGGAACACAGAGCAGTATGCAGCCCATTAAATGGCTTGTGTGATGTGTTGTCGCCAGAGCAGGGGGTTATTTTATTATATTATTAATCTATTATATGATTCTCTCTTTTATTAGTTTTATTGTTTTTATATGAGATATTTATATTCCTGTAAGCCACCTTGTGTCGCCATGTGCGAATAGGCAGCAATATAATTTCATAAACAAACAAATACATACTGGTTGGGGCAGTATAATCATCACTCCTTCTTTTGCTCCTTGTTAAAAAATAGTTGGCTTTATTGTAGAAGGTGGCTATTGGAACTGGTCCAATTGTTGTCATCAATTTCGAGACTCCATTTTTTGGCCGCAACAGCCTCATGCAGCCCTCTGTCAGTGAAAACAGAGTTCAGGAGACTGCACATGGTCCATCCTGATTCCATTTCCCCCCGCAGAGGCATCATGGGCCGGTCCTTCACTGTTCCCAGGGCAGACCCATGGACCTGATCTAAGCACCCCATTGGCCAGATCAGCCTTCGGGCCTTGAGTTTGACACTCCTGCCCTAGATCTTGAACGATTATGATAATTCTGTGACTGAATTGGCAATTAGAATGCCAGCTTGGTAGATTATCTGAATATGCTCAAGCTTTGGAGGAAAAATAAATTTTATCTTGCAGTAGTGATGGTGACACCTTTGCATCCACTTAGTTTCATTCAATTTAGTAAAAAGTCAAATGATCAACCATCAGTCTAGGTCCATGATGGCAAACCTATGGCACGTGTGCCACAGGTGGCACGTGGAGCCATTTCTGAGGGCACGTGAGGCATTGCCCTGTCAGCTCCAGCACACATGTGCACGCTGGCAAGCTGATTTTCGGCCATTTTTCGGTCTGCCCAGGCTTCAGGAGGTTTCCCTGAAGTCCGGGTAGGGCAAAAAAACAGCTCAGTGGGAGCCCACTGGAAGTTAAGGAACAAACTTCTGGGTTGCCCATTGGGCTGTTTTTCTCCCTCCGGAGGCTTCAGGAGGCTTTCCTGAAGCCTGTGGAGGGCAAAAAATGGCCCAATGTGCCTCCTGGAAGTCTGGAGAGTTCAATGAGGCCTGTGTGCATGCGCGGGGGTAGTGGTGTTTGTGCCGGTATGTGGAGTGCATTGCATTATGGATGTGGACACATGTGCAAACCACCACCCCCATGCTCCCCACGCTTTTGGCATGCTTCGACAAAAAGGTTAGCCATCACTGGTCTAGGTTGTGGAATGTAGCAGCTTGAAACCTTAAACGCCCGTTTTGATTTGTTTCTTAAATACTAAGTAACATGTAATAAACTGCTGATACCAGTATATCTAGTATATCCATGCTGTTATGGATTGGATATTTTTATTTTTGTGCATTCTGAAGCATGGAGTATTACCTGTTTTGACTTTGGCTTACTTTTCCTTGTTAGTGAAATTTCACAGGTTTTCTTGGAAGTGCTGTTAATAACTAAGCATCTTTATCTTTTTTTTTTTTAATAAAATGAATGCACTTTTAATTATAATTGCAATTATTCTAAGGTGTTTTTATGGTGCTTGCATTCTAATTACTATTAGTTTCTTGGGTATCAGAATGGATAACATTACATTTCACAGACTAAGCAATTACAAGTTTTTCTGCCTTTATCCAAATTAGAATGCTTTAAGTAAAATTTCCATTCAGGTGAACTAGTTCTGCTGATTTCATTAATATACCCATTCAGGGTTTGTTTGTTTTTAGTAACAATATAGAAGTGGTATGACATATTTTTCTGGGATGTTCCTTCCCTTAAAAGTCAACCAGTTGCTACCAATAAGGTAAAACACCTTAACAGTCTTCCTTGTGAGTGTTACTTTCTGCTCTGAATACAATCAATGCTATAAAGATATCTATGTGGGTATCATTTGTACATTACCTTTCTTTATGCTATTTTCTGATTATTCTACAGATAATTGTATATGCATATGAAATATTTTCAATTCTGTTTATCTATATTTTTCTTTAGTCACTACCTGAATGTTTATACCATTCAGTTGAAATAAAAATTAACATTATTTGGAAGTGTAATTACATTTCAATTGAAGAACATAATTAGATTATTGGAGTGTGATTTATAATAATTTTCCAGTTGACTTTACTATTGAAGGTCTTTGAATTGTTGGTATCAAAACTGTCTCTGCTTAACTATTTTGTTATTTTTATTTTGTTCTGTCTTGAAACAGTTCAGAAAAGTATACATCCTGCTGCCTCACTTTTATCATTACTTCAGTCTTGTGAGATAAGTAGGCTGAAGCAATGAGTGTAATTTACTCATAAAGATTAGAAATTAATTGTCTACAGATGCTCTGCAATATGTTATCATCATATCATTTTGGCTGTATTCATGTTATCTATTCTTTAATACACTTAAGGTTAGAGATCTTTACCGCCACTTTTGAAAGCCAGGCTGAAAAAATTACCATCTACTCATTTGAGATTTTATAATTAATATCCTTTACCTTTATCTAAATAGAAGGCAAGATTAGAGTAACTAATTATTTTCTCTGTATTGATAAGAATAGAATAAAATGCATAACATTTAACTGACTAATTTTCATCAAACATTAAAAAAAAAACCCTAAAACTTAAATACAAGTTTATGGTTCTGGAGTTTAACATTTTCCCAGCAAGTTATCCAATTTCTGTTAGATAATATGTATCACTTAACATTTCTTCTAGAATTAAGTTAAAAGAACCCATAAATTCATGAAATTGCTAATTATTTTTTATATATATTTGCCAATTGCTTTTCTTCCAAGTCTGATTGAGTACTTTCAACAAGGACACATCAATTTCCTTTTCATAACAATGGAGAAACCAACAATGGTTTCCACTTTTTGCTATACTTTGATCATTACATCAGATAATTTAGAAACAGCAGCAAGTACAACAGATGGTACAATTCTGCTCACAATGGTTATCATATGTTCTTAAAAATCATGTTGGGACTAGAACTCACACTCTCCTGGTTTCTAGCTTGGCACCTTAACCACTAATTGGTTCTCCCTTTCATGTGTCATATATAATATGTAGTTTGAATGCAGTAACATATATACAGCATTTTAAGTTTTTTTTAAAATAAACTAAGACCAAACTTTATTGCTTAATTAGGAAGTATTGACAAAATACTAGCAATTGAACATGAAGATTACATAAACTATGAGTTTATTGTGCTGAACAAACTGTGATAATCAAGCAAAGTAACATGCAAGCAATTCAAAATCATAGACAGCAACTCTATATGAATAACAAAGCAACGAGCTAGAAAGCAGTTGAGGAAAATAGAAAAAAACTGTAGGTTTTTGCAAGTATATCAATTGCGCAGAAATGGCAGAAAAATAATGTCCAGTCTTATTTAGGAGTGACCAATGACAGCAAAGAACAGTCCTATAAAATTTATCTCCCATAAAAATAAACTATATATATAAAAATTTTATGATGTTCCTTCTGTTTCAATGGCCACAAAGTTATTTTCAGTCTGAAAAATGAGGTATAGAAGACCCTGAGAGGTAGTAATGTGTTTTGATTGTTCTACAATATACAGAAAATGTAAGATTTCATCAAAGCTGTAAATAACATTTAGTTCATCTCACATGGTTAAACTGATTCAGAAACTCCATTATAAGGATACTGAGGCTCAACAGAGTTCTATGTAGGTAAAGTTTATTTGATTTCCTTCAGTAATTCATGGTATATTCCTATGTGCACAATAGGGATTTCCTATTAGATCCACACCATTTCTTAAGATTAAATCCCTTTAATCTAATTACATCCCTTTTTCTGGATGGAGCTTTTGTACATACTAGAGCCATGGAATTAGGGAGTATGGTCTATGTCAGGGTTTCTCAACCGTGGTGACTTTACAACATTCAGACTTCAACACCCAGAATTCCCCAACCAGCAAGGCCAGTTGGGGAATTCTGGGAGTTGAAATCCGCACATCATAGTCACCAAGGATGAGAAACACTGGTCTATGCTATTAAAATCCATAGTCTAAAGAAGCAAGGCACTTTTGGAATCTTGACCAAGTGTTCCTTATCAGTCACTAAGCATTTTTTCCCAATAATATCCCTTATGTCTCATGACTATTCTAAAGGATTTGTTTGGGAGGGAGGGAGATCTGTTGGCTGGACCCAGAAGGAAAAATCTGTGCACTCTCATTGTAGTTTGTCTTTCAGGCCACAGCTTGAATGGTCATGACTAAGTCCCATATGCAGTTGTTGAATAATTATTTACAAATTAGGTAACATTAGGACACCTAAAATAGATTTTTCTTAGATGCTCTTTTTCATTGATCCCTAATGCAAGGCACTCATGTTACTGGAGCTGGTGTTTGTTCTTAACAGTCAATATTGTGAAGCAGCCAGTAAGTAGCTCTCCTTAGTTGCATTTGACTAACACTAAAGTCATACCAAAGAATGTTTTCCTGAGAATCTACCCCTGGCCCAAATAATAAAACAATGTTTACCAACAGATATATCCACTGAGGGTGAGATAGACAGACAGAGGAAATAAAAAGAATGAAATCAAATAAGTCAGAAAGTATTAATCTCTACATACAGTAAGAAGCATTTAAAATAAATCTGCTTGACACATATTTAAAAAAAATCACATTTGTGAAAAAAATGAAAATACCTGATGAGTATTCTCGTATAATCTACTAGTTTTTACACACAATACACACACACAAACATACGCACACTTATTTGTGATTGCATTATGCAAAAAGCTGAGCTTGTTGCGTCCAACCGACAAAGATTCAAGTTTCTTTGAGGGGTGGTTTTAATATGAAACAAATCAATATGTATTCATTTCCCACAAAGCTCTTTTACAAAAATAATTCTAATTGGGGTTTTTTCTTGCTTCCTTTAGTTTTATGTTTTTGCAGTCCTAAATGTTTCAGTCTTCCCAAAAACAAATGTTGACAGAAACAAGTTCATCCATTAATAGTCTGGAGGTAGGTCTTGTCAATCGACGAGTCCATTTCTTTTTTTAAAAAAATCAATTGAGGTACAAACCTGGACAGTAATATTTAAACACTGCAGTTAATTATTTTTATGTCATGTAGTGTCAGTGAAGAAAATTATCATTACAAACCTTATGAGCAATTTGGTACAAAATATATTCAAGTTAATGGTACATTATATAGAAATTTTGCAGAGAAAGGCATAGCGTACTTTAAAAAGAAAAAAATATTGTAATGCTGAAAAACATTAACAGTATTGTGTTCTTAATTACAATGAAGTGACAAAGTAAAAAAAGGATTGGGGGGAATGCAGAATTTATGATTACTTATGCAATAACAAGTTCTTGCATTGTATGATCATAGCAGCAAGTGTTTATATGATTGTTGAGTTCAATGTAAATAACAGAGGTAGTACTGAAAAGTGGGGTAATATTGCAGTTGTTGTTAAAAGTGCTGCTTTTTAGTAAAAATAAAAAAATAAAAAATGGGGACATATAACTGGACCAATCTGCCCAGATAAATATCCTATGTCAATGTATATTGCTTGAAAGTAATAAGCCCACTTGAGGTACATAGTATTGGCTCTTGAATGAAGATGTATTAGTGAAGATGATAAGACCATTCCTTGAAGGAGTAGAATGGGCCGGCAGCACAGTAATAAATCAAACTAAATATCTAAATTATTTCCCTTGGTTCCAGTATGGTATGATTTAAAATCATTCTGAGGTATTGTTTAAAATTCACTAAAATCCAGATTTTAGTTGCTAAATTTCAGGCCTGAAAGAGAGTCTGATGTAAGTCATTTCTAAACAACATGACGATCTCTAGAAAGCAGATTCCACCTCAGGGTGTATGAAAATGTTTCCAGAGAGGGTGCTGTTGAGTTCCATTTGGTATTACTTCAGCAGATATGTGTATTGCTATTATACAGAGTATCTTTGTCATTTTTCCCTTTTGTTGCAAAGTACCTTTTTTCTTTTGACTTTTGCTTCCTGATTATCAGTTGAATTAATTGAAAGAAATTAAACTTTGATGTGTCTTAAAAGAACAGTGACACAAGAAACAAATAAGCACAAATCTAGTCCAGGGCTAACAAAATAGTATCTAATAGGGCTGGGCATACTTCAAAAATTATTTCAAAGAAGCACTTCAGACCTTCCAAAAATAAACTCTTTGCTGTTCACTAAAGTTACCTATTTCTTTTTGCAGATTTCTACTCAAGCCTAAGAAATTATACAGTGCTTTAAAGATCTGAGTCACTGAAATTAGTGTGAGACAAGCACAACACTAATTGGGTAGTCATTAAAGACATTTGCATTTTGCTTTCAGGCTGCTTTAATAAACAGCAGAGAGGTGCTGGGTTTGCATGAGGTGTGAAACCTTCCTGAATCATTCTGAAGCATACACAATCCTAGCATCTAAATCCTTATCTTTGGTGTTCTAAAGAGAGAATTCACTAAGCTAGGGAGTGGGTTGTCAAGAGATGTTGTAAGAACTAGTGTCAAATACCAGTCCTTCCAATATAAATGCCCATGGTAATTAATATTTTAAAATAGTTATATATAGGCAGTGCAGTAAACAACTTGAAACCTGCTTCTGAGATTTACTGACCCATTCACCCTTACTTAGCAGCTCAAACTATTAGTAGATTAAAGAAAAATAAGAGAAAACAGTAAGAATATGTTGCTTTGTTAATCTGTGCCCCCTGTGTTACAGCAGTTTCAGGAAACCTGGGGCAATGAAGGGATTGCAATAACAATTATTAATAAGTCCTTTTTAAGGTTATGTGGATTCCTTCCCTCCTCCCCACCCAGGCCAAAGTAGAAGATTGTGGAAACAGAAGCAAGTGGTCATGGCAGCGCCTTCTCCCTTCAAAAGATCCAACTGCTGATGAGGTAGAAATAGAAAGGTGTGGTTTTCTAATCATCTTCTGCTGATTCTTGTGAGGATGTCTCTTCAGGCTGATCCTGGAATGATCAATCAGAGTAGTAAATTAATTATATAACTATTAAAAGTACTTTAAGTTAAAGTTAGTAATGGAGTCAGTTCAAATAACTGAATTTTAATAATAGCAATAACACTTAGACTTATATACCGCTTTACAGTGCTTTTTAAGTGGTTTAGAGTCAGCATTGTGTCCCCAACAATTTGGGTCCTCATTTTACCCACCTCGGAAGAATGGAAGGCTGAGTCAACCTTGAACCTGGTGAAATTCGATCTGCCAAATTGCAGTCAGCCAAGTAGCCTGCAGTACTGCACTCTAACCATTGCACTACCGTGGCTCAAATTTTAGCTTAATAAGAGTGAGATATTCTCAGAATTTATGTCCATATCTGCTTCCTTCCTTGTTTTGCAGTATGAAATATAAACCAGGAATTCATTATCAATAACTTTCTCAGAATTATTCAGACTTACTCAGAATGTGGTAGTCAAGTTTCAAAGTGTAACTGAGTTCACACAAACGTGGAAGGGTGGTTTGTCTTAGGTTGTTGAAGAAGTCACAGTGATTGAATTCGTGTAACACATTGCACTAAGATTGACAAATTGCATTGTGGATGAACAAGGAATATGATATGTGGCTACATTTTAAGATGTGAGCTAAATTGGAACTGCTAACAATGGATCCTTTCTTGGGAAGCGGGGAAAGGAAACTATGTTTGAATTAATTCTTTTGCTCATGTTACACAAATCAAAGAGGCTGCAAAGTCATTAACATTTTAACTCATTAGGAACTAGTTTATGATGTTTTAAAGCTGTTTTCCATAAGTACCAAAACTTAGAGACATCTTTCACAATTAATTTCTGCAACTGGAGGTGCTGTTTCAATTGTAAACTTTAGGTCATGCCATTCACACATTTCTCCTTTTAAAAATATTTATGATTCCAAATATGTAAATATGTAACAAGTCCACAGAGAAATGTAGGTGGCAAAAATGTGTTAAAAACTTAAGTTCTCAGGTTAAAGAAAAGGCATGTGCATCTCATGTGCATTGTTCTCTTGATATTAATCACGTCTTCAGGACTTTTAAACATACAAAGTACTTTACTGGGCTTATCTCATTTATCCACTCAGCTAAGAGTCCTTGGAAGCAGGTTATGCTGGGAAATGAAAATCTGCCCAAGGCCACCCAACAAGATGCAGAGCTAAGTGTGGATTTGAACTTTGGCCTCTCATATCCCAACCTATCACACCACACATGACAGCACAATAATCCTCCAGTTCAGCTATTACTGAAATTTTTAACCAAATACCACGCTAACATTCTGCCTGAAGCTTAAAACACATGTAAGCATAACTCTGTTTTGGGAGGCAATGTCTAAAATCTAGGTTAACATACAAAACCAGATACTGTTGGAGGTTTGTTTTGCTATGTCTTTCATTCTTAGCCCCAGTCTCCCCCTCCCCCTTTGGTCTTAAAATACTAGGGCCATCTTCTGACCTTGCTCCACTGTGCCATTCTTTTTACACTCCTTATTCAATTAATGTGCAATACCTTTCAGGATATGGGTGGTAAACTGGAGACAATAAACACTGCTGATAAAAGGGGCTGTTAGGGGGAAGTTGATTTTTATCAAATTCTGCACATCATCTTGTAAGACAGCATGTGAAAAAGATCTAGGGTGAATAGGTAAACATTTACCCATATAGCAAACTGAGACCTTTTAAGAATGGCCAGCTTATAACAGTCTTCATACTTTAATAGATTTGATTTTCCACATGGCTTCATTTTGTCTGGGTGGCTAGCTGACACAATTTATAACTCTCTTCCTTTCCCAGGCCACTGCAGTACACCACTCAGCAAAGCCTGAGGTACAGCTTGTCTGCATTATGTGACCAAACTTCCATTCATTAGTGTTTGAAACACTTCAGCTGTGAAGGGGATGCTAAATGCTACCATGTGTGACACTACTGCACAAGAGCAGCATGGCCAGAAAAAAACAACAGTAGGCTTTAATCATAGGCCACTGCTTTCTGCAATCCCTTTTCAAAAGGTTTCAAACATTCACCCCCCCCCAAAAAAAGGCTTGAAAAAAGCTGTAAATCCAGGGAATAAACACAAGTACAAATGAATGGATGACAGCTTAAAAAATATAACCATAGCAGCATCAAGTCATGAGATTTCACACTGGTTTTGTTTAGTCTGCTCTGGGTTATGTGGGAAATGGGGAAAGCATGAAGCAAAAAGGCCCCCCTGCTAAACTGTGGGCCTCAAATATTTAAGCCAGTAGGTTTATACCTCTTGACTAGGAAACAGGCCATGACCCTCAAATGGTCTCTGGAGAATGAGGCACAAAGAAAGATGTATCACGATCAAAGCCATGGACAGGAGAAAGAGAGGGAAGCCGAGTGTCGGCTAACCTCTGGCCTGATTTTTTCAATTAATATTTAAATTACAAAAAGGCACTCAACTATTACAAAGATATAGCATTTTCCACAATCTCATTTCCAGTCACCTTCAAGCTCCCAGGCTGCACAATTACAGAGGATGTATGCATACATAGAAACTGTGGTTGGTAGGAATGTTATGAGTTACTGTTTATTATTTCAACTTATTTCCTAAACTTTTCAAAACATTTCACAACTATTGTCCAAAGTATTAAGTCGGGAATTTTTGATTTGCTGTGGTATAATCTAACTACTAAAGTAAATTACTCATTACTTCCTCTCTTTTTCTTTATGACACTGCTAGCTGTTCTGTTGTATGTTTCAGTTTCAGCTGTTCTGATCTTTTCAACTGCCTCCAGACATCAATCTTATGCTTAGCCATTGGATTACTGTTATTGGATCTGGCCTACAAAAACAAACAAACAAACACAGATCATGGCTAAACAGGGGCAGGAAGTTAGATATGTTTATATCTCTTTGATACCAATTAATGGTCCTCCAGATTTTTGCAACCCATAATTCCTAGCCGTATGAATGGTTACCAGCACCCAAACCCATTACATTTTCTATTACCTATTTTCAAATACATGCAACAAGGGGTTATGTTGTAGCACTAATATACATTTAACTGGTGTACAGGGAATCTCAAGGCTCACAATATGAATTGTTTAAGAATTTTGAAATAACTTTGGCTCACAAGAAATCCCTAACTTCCACACATGCAGATGAAGCAGAAAGAACTGGCACCTGGTATATAGACATATTGTTGTTTTTATGATTCAGGAGTTAGTTCTTTTAAGTATTATTCATGTGAAGGGGAAAACAGAGAATTTAAGCCCTGTCTGTAGACACCCACATTTTCGCATTGCTGTTTGCAACAACAATTTTAAAAAACCTTTGCATGACTTGATACAGATTCAAATTGTAATCTGTGCAATCTCAAATGCAATCCGTGAATGTAAACTGTAGTCTAATTTTGTCAGCCAATTATAGGTATCCAAAAATAGGCAAGTTATCAAGGTTTTCAAGTTGTTTCGTTAGATAAGAGGTTCATGCCTCAAAAGGGTGGTGATAGACTATTGACTTAATGTCACAATTTTGGAATCAATGGCCTAAGCAGTCTTTTTTGAATTGTACAATTATTCAAAACTGTACAATTTCTAAAACCAATTCATATAAATGATTCAGGAGGACAATATGTCTGAAACTTGCCCTGAGGTCAAGAAGAATAAACACAATTGCATTCTGCCTATCTAATCCACAACACAAATACTAGGGCAACCAAGCTTACTTCCACCCCAAAATAAAGCTTTACCCTGGATTAACATCTCTGTGTGGGATTCCCTTTAATTCTTAGCTGCTGCAGCTATCTTTAGAAACTAGATGTTTCTAATTTGTTCTTACCACATCTGCTCTCTATATGGCTGCTGCAGGATTATACAACAAAATGGGGGTCTTTGGAAATATCTTTGGAAAGATATTTCTCATGATCAAGGGTCAGACTAGATGGGGAGAAAAGGGTACAAGGTGGTTACTGCTCCTGGGTATACATGACTAGAAGTGTCTATGGAGATCCTCAGTCATCCCGGTCATGGTTCTCCCAAAGGTGCTTTTTCAAAAGGCAACTGGAATTTGAAGAGGTTTTGCTTCTCATCCAAAAGCTTCTTCAGCTCTGATTGGATAGTGGGGAGTGGATTTATATTCCTTGCAGACAGCTGGTCAATTGCATTCACTACCTGAATAGTGCCTGCATCTCAAACTGAAGTGCAAATGGTTCCTGTACTCTGCAAATTTTCTGGAAATCCATTCATACTCTCATACCATTCGAAGGGTATTCATCCCAAAGTGCACAGCTAAACAGCAATGGAGATTAGCTATGCACTTTGGGATGAACACCCTTCAAATGGTGCAGGAGTATGAATGGATTTCCAGAAAATTTGCAGAGTACAGGAACCATTTGCGCTTCAGTTTGAGATGCAGGCACTACTCAGGTGACCCTGAGGACACAGATAAACCTCCAAGTGGCCTCAACAACTCTGTAAAAGAATGCAATTGACCAGCTGTCTGCAAGGGATATAAATCCTTTCATTCCCCACTATCCAATCAGAGCTGAAGAAGCTTTTAGATGAGAAGCAAAACCTCTTCAAAGAAAAACAAGAAAGTCCAGTTGCTCTTGAAAAAGCACCTTTGGGACATAGGACTAGGAAAAAGATCTGTTGAACTCCAACTATTTACTTGATGGTAAATATACTTAGAAATGGATTTCAAGATTGCTGTGCTGCATGTAGGAAAGAGGTAGAAGGCACATTTTATGTACTAAAACCCACACTGCATACCTCCTGTCAAATGTTAAAGGAATTGCTTTGAAGTTAAAGAGAAAGAGATTGAACATCTAAAGCCAAATGCTGTGCACACCTCATTAGGACCTAGTTATGTGAAGACCAAACTGTCCCTTCCAAGTCAAGCATGCTTACCCATTGGAAAGGGGGGATCAGAAATGTAGATAAAAGAGTCTTTCAAAGTGGAAATGCTTAGGGACATTATCGTGAGTCAAGAAAAGTTTCCTAATACTGAACTGCT